TGATTGGGACAGAAAACTGACAGAAAAATGGAGTCAAATTCATTATTCAGAATTTATTTTCTCATTGAAATTCGTTCCGGCTTGTAATCATGGTACATGTAATACTGGAGAAGAACGATTTTAAGGAGAAACAAAACTTTACTGTTTGAGTTTGATTATTTGAAAATCGTATTTTGATAAGTACGGCAACAAATACAGATAAGAACGGGCTTCATTCAAAACCAAATATTGCCTTATTAAAATGTTGATGACAAATTCCTTCTTCAGATTTTATTTCCCTATTCAAACTCGTTTGAGGAATTTATTACTCACTCATCGGTACAGCGGATATAGCTTAATAGGTACTTCGAAGGGTGAAAAGCTACATACCGTACATTCATTTAACTATGCACCGTACAGAAGGATTTATGTGGTCAGCTATACACTGTACACAACGCTTCTTTTCGGAATAAAATATCGAAAAATAACATATGTATGAAAGATTTCAATGCCAATTATTGAAACAGCTATACTTATTACGTACACACAGTGCATGGCCTTCTATCAGAAAAAGAGTTGCAATATTGAATATAGAATCATATCGGATGAGACGAGCGCCAACTTCTTTGACAAGTATTTGCACATGTTTTAGTAAGCGTTCTTGTTTTAGGAAAATAATGAGACTTCTCTAATCATCAACCTACGACCAAATCATTTCTTAAAACAACAATTATGTTTAGATTGAGTACACATTGATATTATGTAAACAAAACAAAGACTTTCTTACCGTGTCAGAAGAAAAATCGATCAGGTTAGTACCTATATCCGCTGTACCGATGATACACGGTGTTACTGGACAAGAACGAGTGAAAAAAGCGACATTGTCTTGTAAATATGTGGATACACTTTCAATAGTCACACACATATTTTATATACATTTATTTCGGGAATTATTTTTTAATTTATTATGCGCTCTATTGATGCCAGATTTTCCTTTTTTTACTATCAATGTTCAACCACACCTATATATGCATTCTTATATTATAGGACTTTCCTCGTAGATGAAACAGGGGTTTTATCCAAAAAGGACGTCACGTTTTGCAATGAATAAGATCTATATTATTTTTAACGTTTTCAAATGAAATGAATTGAATTGAAAATTTCCCGACTATAGACAAGACAAGACGTATACATGTACATATACGAAGACTTCGTTTGGATGTGACATGTCTTTAAAATTAATACAGTTGAAATAAGACTGAGAATGAAACTTTTTTCTGTTAACTATGTACCATAAATTTAGGTACATCTCTCTACGATTAATCAGTTCAGTTCAGTTCAGTTTCTTGTATATTCCTTTTTTTAATTGTGGAGCACTACCCATAGGGTATAATTGTAGCAACTATATACACCTTAGAACATAAGGAAACATTTAATTATGTACAGATGACTGAATTTAGGCAATAATAATTACTAAATAATTAATATTATAACTAATTCATAGGATTGTCATCATAAAATTTTAAAAATAATATTCATAATGTGCTGAAGTGTAAGAATAAGTTAAGTAAGAACTGGATATATTTACAAATAAGAATTTAGAATTTAAGTGGTCTTAAATTAAACTTTCTTATAATTGTTAGTTAAAGGTGCTATACGTACATCAGAATTTATAATGAGAAGGTTATTTTATAAGACTTATGTAAAAGGGTTGGGGTTTAGAACGATTCATCATATATACATGTTTTCCTTCACAGTTTAAAGTTACCTTATTTCGGATCTTATCATTATTCTTTAAAGGTAACTGGATATTTTAAAACTTTGCAATTTTTTTTATTTAATTTAGGTCCTAATACGTCATAAAATAGTAAGATGGTAAAGTAGGGAACTATTTTATTTTCAAAAAGTTTACTTATACTGTACTTGTGTTCAAGTTTTTTATCCTTTTTGTCCTCTGAGTATATGCATGGCTTGGGTGAAAGAAAAGCAATTGATCTATACTCATGCAAATAACCCTTTCAATTATGAATTCTTATAAACTGAACAAGTAATAGCTTTTCTAAAAAGCTAGCCGTCTCATAGCTGATGAAAGTGGAAAATGTTTTCTCTTTGTAGTTCAATTCGTTCAAAATTGTATGTAAATTGTAGTAGATAACAAAATTATAAAAGGCTTATACCTTTTTTTAGATTTACCAATTTTTTATTTGGGGGGGGGGGGGGGGGGGGGGGTATTAAAACTGGAAATTGGGGGTAATGTCGTTTTATCGATTATTTTTTTTCAAACAGATATCGGAGTTGATCGTTGGCTTTTTCTTTGGTTGTTTGCTTGTTTTTTGTGTTAGAAAAGTATGGCCGCTTCCACCTGAAAGTTTTTCGTTCATAATAGGCATCGAAAAGTGTAGAGACTAGAGAGTGAAACGTAGTAAAATTTAAACATATAAGAACACAATTAATATATTTCCAACGGTATCTCACATCTTTTCAAAAATGATCCGTAAAATGTAAAGCTTCACATATATGTATGGTTATTTTTGTTGTCGATGAAGATTTTGTCTATTCATTGTAGTTGGACTGCAATGTGGAATGCCCCACGCCTCTTTTTCTATATTTGAATAATGAGTATCCTTAACAATTAAATGTTTCTTTTTTCAGATTATTTGGTTTTATTGGACTTCTTGATTTTATTTTTTGATGAAAAATACTCAGAGTCGTGAGACGGGTAATTTGTTATATAAGACCTATTGTAAGCGCCTGAAAACAAAGTAGTTTCGCCGCCATTTTTTTTCAAATCATAATAGACGTCGTTGGTTATAAAGAAGGTAATAAGTTCTGCAAAGCTACTTTAAGTTCACTATAAGGCCATCAACATAAGAGAATCAACAAATTTGACCAAAACTTAATCAAGCATACAGCTTGATACTGTATCTTTTGTTATTGTTTTACTTGTACATATCTTCATATTTATTTACTATACCATTTAATGTTGGATGACGAATAAGGCCCTTATCATACTTACCCTTAAAAGCTTGACATACTGGATTGACATAATCTTTTGTGGGAGACCGTTCGTATGTTGACATATAAATGTCTTTTTGTTTTATGATCATAGTATATGTATGTTTATACTTGTTTTTACAATTCTTGTAGAAAACATACAATTAAGAATAATCTTTTAAAGTGCCAACAGTATTTTCGTCTTTTAAATTTATAATTTTCTTTTATTTCTCTTTCTCTCATTTAGCATGTCTAGTATAAATAGTCAATAAACCTCAAAACAAACATAAGAAGTTTGTTCCTGACCCTGCTCATAGTTCCAAGTAATATCTGAATTATTTTTTGCTATTAAGATTTTTTTTTGTAACAAAAAAAAATGTTCCGGCGTGACATTTGTTCCGCTGGAACTTATTTCATAGGAAATATGTTCCACCGGAATTTATATCACAGAAAATTTTTACCCGGAATATATATTTTAAGAAAATATGTTCCAGCACTGTAAAATTTGTCCCGGAACTATTTTTTTTACTAAATGTTAAATAAGTTCCGGGTGTTATAGATTTACATGATGCATTAACTTTATATCAAGCAAAACATTCTATAGTTGTACCTGACAAGTTTAATATTCAACATTGAAGTCTTTAAACAGCACGACAACGTTCAAAATAAGGTAAATCTTTGAGAAATTCAAATTAAGTCAGCATATATATTGTACGTAGATAATATGATTAAAAAACAAATGCACAACTATGATTAACAACTGGCATAAATATTTAAAACACAATATTTAATTTTTTGTCTCGCCTTGACGGAGTCAAAAAGCGAGACAAAGGTATGCTGTTTCCGGCGTCGGCGGCGGCGGAGTCGTCAACAATGTATTAGTTTGTGATTAGGTCTAGTTTATGGCGAACCACAAGTGGTAGGTCAATCATATTTGGTATGCAGTTGTATTAGCATTGGCACATCTCATTTCCATGGAGATTATTTGGCCCTGTCCCCTCAGTCATGGTCTATTGACTTTGAAACTTTTGCTTATTTTACATGTATTAGTTTGTGATTAGGTCAGTTTATGGGGAACCACTAGTGGTAGGTCAATGATATTTGGTATGCAGTTGTATAAGCATTGGCATATCTTATTTCCATGGAGATTATTTGGCTCCCTTAGTCATGGTCTATTGACTTTGAGAATTTTGCTAAGTTAACATATTTTAGTTTGTGATTAGGTCAGTTCAAGGGGAACCATTTAGGGTAGGCAAATGTTAATTGGTATTCAGTTGTATAAGCATTAGCACATCTCATTACCATGGAGAATATTTGGCCCCGCTCCCTCAGTCATTGTCTATCGACTTAGACACTTTTGCTTAGTTTACATGTATTAGTTTGTGATTAGATCAGTTTAAGATGAACTGCTAATGTTAAGTAAACGATATTTGGTATGCAAATTTATTGGCATTTGCAAATATCGTTTCCATGGATATTATATAGCCTCACCCCCTCTTCATGGTATTGACTTTGAAACTTTTACATAGTTTATAAGTTAATGTTTGTGTTTAGGTTCGTTTAAAGGGAACGACTTATAATAATTCAATGGTATTTGGTATGCAGTTGTATTAGCTTTGGCACATCTCATTTACATGGAAATTGTTTAGCCATGTACCTCAGTCATGGTTCATTGACTTTGAATATTTGCATAACTTATGAAACATGTTAAAGTATTGCTATTTTAATTTCAACATTTGCATAATCAAAATTACAAAAGGATGAGACATATTTCTGTGATAACAGTTTATCTACAAATTCTGATATGAAGTAACATATGTTGAATTGCAATATTCATAAATAAATGATTGATCTATAAAAAATTTCTGACGGATTTTTCTTATTCTTCGCTTATCTGCCTCATTAAATTATTGTCATTTGGATATTTTTGTATGGATAATGTAATTAAACATTTTGCTATACTCCACAGAATCCATATTGGATGTTTACACCTTTTATTTATTACATTATCAATATAATACATGTTTTTATAATGTACTTGAATTATAACTTTAAGCTCACTGATAACAATGCTCAGTATAAAAGATAACTTGTATAACCAGTGGACATATTTCACAGACAAGCAACTTATTTCACCAGGTAAGGAACAAATCTCACAAACCTAGAACTTATTTCACTAGGTAAGGAACAAATTTCACAAACCCAGAACTTATTTCACCAGGTAAATTGTGGAACTTATTTTATAGAGATGGAACAAATCATATAGAAATTATCTGTGAAAAAAGTTCTCCCAGAATATATTTCCTGTGATATTTGTTCCACTGGAACTTTTTTCACAGGAACTAATTTTGGCTCACATATTCACAACTATTCTATATATTATAGTTAGACTTGGGAGGATAAAAAAATTTAAAATGTTGTAATGACATGTCCATTGAAGAAGACCGTAGATTGAACTTTAGAAGTAAATTGTCACGTTTTGTTTGTTGCTTAATTGGGTTGCTGTCTAAATTAATTATGTATACTTCACATCTCCTTTAAAATCATTCATAGAAATTAAACATTGCTTAAAATATGTTAGCATACATCGTCTGAGAGTAGTTTTTTGCTCTTCTTATATTCCCTTTTAGATATATTTTTAGTCTTCTGTTCTTCAACCTCTGCTATATCTTGCTAGGAAGAGCTAGCTAGGTAGATCTAGACAACATCTAACTCAGCCAAACGATCTTGGGGTGTGTGTGGGGGCACTTATTATGTAATGAGTGGAAAGGATGAGTCGCTGGGATAGGTCACTATTTGAAGCTTCATGAAATTGCATGAGGTCGAGAAATTTAGGTGAAATATAAGACAAGGTTGATGATTGAATCTGAAACTAATCAGATGTCGATATTTTTTTACAGATGCAATTAAAATCACCAGAGATTGTGTATATATGTCTCTAAAATCACTTTCGTAAATGTTTAAGATATTTGTCAAATCTATTTACTAGTATCTCCCCATGAAATAGCGTAACAATGATAGCTATGTGCAGGTATATATACTTATTGTAAAAAATATATGATAGCTAGGGTAAGTGCATGTATGTTCTTTTATCATTCAATATATATAGTCAAATGCGTTTTGTTAAAATATACTTTTTCACTCATTTGGTCTTTTGGAAAATGTTGTTTGTGCTGTATTTAGACCCCTCTACCAAGGAATTTGTTTTGCATGCACACGTATAAAAATTGCGGTTTTTATCCAACGCAATCATAGGTTTGAACGTTGTTTTCAATTTAGACTTGTTTATATTTTTTCGTTTGGGCTTGTATTATATTTGCCTTCGGACTTATATGATCCGTTCATCCTATTTTGACTCTTTCAAAATTCAAGAGTCTATCCTAAATTGAGGTAAATTATATGGCCTTCCAAATACCGTTTCGATTCCTAACATCACTGAAGAGACATTAATTGTCGAAATCCGGATATGGTGTACAAATGTTTGCACCTCATGTTTGCGGTATACCATCTTTTCCGCAAGTTTATTGTTTTCTGTTTGGTAATAAATTAATGATAAGATCTAATTGTTACATCTTGTGATCCGTTTATTTGTCAATCGCCAATGGCAGTCAGCAGGGTTTAAGCACATCAGTTGTTCGACCTGCTAGTCAAATGCGTTTTGTTAAAATATACTTTTTCACTCATTTGGTCTTTTGGAAAATGTTGTTTGTGCTGTATTTAGACCCATCTACAAAGAAATTTGTTTTGCATGCACACGTATAAAAATTGCGGTTTTATACGTGTGCATGCAAAATAAATTTCTTTGTAGAGGGGTCTAAATATATATATATATATAAAGGGTGGGGTATTGGATGTCTCAGCTGCTCACCTCTGCCATAGAAAGGTCGAAGTGCCGCCGCCGCCGCCCCCGCCCCCTGAGATAAAAATTCTTGTGTAAATTAATATTAATCGAACAGAAATTATTTGATATCTCCGTTTTAAAATGTTTGTGTTGCCTTTAGATTATCTTACTGAGTAGGGGGCCTCGGTGGCCGAGTGGTCTAAGTAGTTACTACTGTAATAACTAGCCAGTCAACACTGAGGTTGTGAGTTCGAACCCCGCTCGTGCGGGTGCACTCGACTCCAATCTTAATTGACTAGGATTGTCAGTTTTCCTATCGAAGGTCGGTGGTTTTCTCCGGGCGCTCCGGCTTCCTCCACCAATAAAAACTGGCCGCCACGAAATAGCCCAAAAGCGGTGCTTAAAGTGGCGTTAAAACACCAAAAATCAAATCAAATCAAATCTTACTGAGTATAAATAAATATAACCTAAGAAAAAGGCATTTTCCTAAAAGTTTTCTTATGTTTTCACGTATAAAATGTACGTAACATGAAATAATCACGTGTGTGTTTACAAATCTTCAGGAGATTTGGCTATTTATAGATAAGTGTTACGCATGATTGGTAACCAGGCAAATCTATTTACTAAAATAAAGAGTTCAGATCCGACACTCTACGGGATTAAAAGACATTTACTAGGTTTGAATTGTCCCAACCAATGAACGAAATTTAATTATGACAGCGTCAGTAATATCTTCCAATTAAGTAGTAAGAAAGCCTTCAGCCCGCAGACTGTCCATCGTTCAACTCTTAATACCGTCTCCGAGGAGACGGTAATAAAAAGTAATCAAACAGAACTCAAACTATAGGAGATGTGGAATAAACTTCAATTTGACAGCAACCAAACGACAAAAACGCCATAGGTAAATCAGATATGTCTTTGAGTAAAAGCCAATTTCTATTGTTTCACTGTTTTTATTTCAAATAGCGCAATTAAACAATCACTTTTTCCAAATATATTTTTTCTAACAAAGCATCAAAGAAAAGATCAACAGCCCTTTTATCATTACTACTTAGCAACAAGGAAACATAATTTACCAGTTAAAGATTGGTTGGATCAATTTTCAAGGTGATCAGACATTACACAAGGAGAGCGCGTGCCCCGTAAAAATGTTAACTTGTATTTGTAGTATTTGTATTTTTATCCATCTGATGAGTTAAGCCTCTTTCAACTGATTTTTATAGTTCGTTCTTATGTTGTAGTTACACCACTGTCCCAGGTTAGGGGGAGGGTTGGGATCCCGCTAACATGTTTAACTCCACATTCTGTATGTATGTGCCTGTCCCAAGTCAGGAACCTGTAATTCAGTGGTTGTCGTTTGTTTATGTGTTACATATTTGTTTTTTGTTCATTTTTTGTACATAAATTAGGCCGTTAGTTTTCTCGTTTGAATTGTTTTACATTGTCATTTCCGGGCCTTTTATAGCTGACTGTGCAGTATGGACTTTGCTCATTGTTGAAGGCCGTATGGTGACCTATAGTTGTTAATTTCTGTGTCATTTGGTCTCTTGTGGAGAGTTGTCTCATTGGCAATCATACCACATCTTCTTTTTTATGATAACTTTTAAATCTCTTAAGATTTTCGAACCAACTTTGAACATATTTTTTTACATTATAATAATCAATCTTAATTTACAATCTTGGTGCATATTTAACCTTTCCATTCATATCCTTAGTTCAGACGACATAGTACTATTGGCAGAAAGTGCTGATGATTTACAGAAACAGCTGGATTCTTTCAGTGAATACTGTAATATTTGGAAGCTTAAAGTTAACTGAAGTGATGATTTTTTGTAGAGGCAGAATGCCGTCAAATTTACATTTTTATATAACTATGGACGGCACTGACATTGAAAATATTAAAAGAATTTAACTATTTGGGCATATTATTATCTAGAACTGGTAATACTAAAATAGCACAGAAACACCTAGCAGAAAAAGCCACACAAGCTATGTTTAAGGTGTTGAAATCAGGCCGCATACATAATCTTTCCACTCAGTGTCACTTAGATCTTTTCTATAAAGTTGTGAAACCCATACTTTTGTATGGATGTGAAATTTCGGGGCATGGTGATGTTGAAATTATAGAAAGAATCCATCAGAAATTCTGTAAACTTCTTTTGAAACTGAAAATTCCACACCTAGCTATATGGTATACGGAGAACTTGGTAGATATCCTTTAAATTAAAAATAGTATCTTATTGGTGTAAATTAGTATCTGCTAAAGAGACTAAGTTATCTTCTATCGCATATACACTATTAAAAACACTATTTACTGTTAATAATGTATGTACATTTTTTGTGAGTGAAGATAAAAATATATTGGATGAATGTGGTTTTTCAAATATTTGGATTTCTCAATGTTTTGGTAATGATATATGATTAAAAAATGCACTAAAGTTGCGATTACAAGACCAATACAAACAGTTGTGGAATACACAATTTCAAGAGTCTACATAATCAGTAAATTATAGAATTTTTAAGTTAGAATTAAATTTTGAAAAAAAATATTTTGATATGTTGGATATGCACGAAAGTATTATTTTATGTAGATATAGAACCACAAACTACAGGCTCTCAATAGAGACAGGGAGGTGGAATAATGTTAATAGAAATGAGAGAAAATGTCATCTTTGTAATATTGGTAGCATTGGAGACGAATTTCATTATCTGCTAGAATGTCCATTTTTTAACGACAGTAGAAAATTATACCTTGATAAGTACTATTTGGCTTATGTTAATACACTAAAGTTTAGAAAATTGATGAGCAAATTAAACAAAAATATAGAGCTAAAAAGATTATGCAAGTTTATAAAGTGTATAAATAAACATGTGGGTCTTCCTAGCTAAAATGTATATTATTTGGAAACCACTGTATTGTATATATGTTTTGTAAATAGATGCATATTCATGTACATATTTTGCACTCTCTCTGTACCTATGTATCTGCAATGGTTATGGGAATAAAGATATTGGTATTGGTTTATATGAACTCGTCAAGCTTCGGTGGATTCAATCAACACTATGATAACTGGACACATTATACAAAAGTCGGCGCGTGCCATGTAAAATGTTTATAACTCTTTCATTTCTAAATACATTTACACCAAAATTTAAATATATGCTCTTTATTTACAACATTATCATACTGAATGACCTTGGTACTTATATGACTGTTCCATCATGGGCTTAGTGCAGTTTTCAGAGCTTAGTGCACCAAGGCGGCCTAGGTGGTGTTTAGACGTACCGGGTAAATCAGTCTTCAACAAGAAACAGGGGCGTGTTTTTTTGTTCTTCGGTAGTGAGCCAGAAGAGGTCCATTTCTGTTTTTTTGCATAGGGAAGATCTTCTGGCCCTCTTCCACCTCTTCGTTTTTGATAGGTAGTTTAGACGGCAGAGGCACATAACAAACATGGCGTCGTTTAGTCTAAATGACATTAATAAATTTATGAATGCAGATATATTGGAATGTGAGCTGTGTTATTAACGTTTTTATGGTATGACAGTCTTAATAGGACATCCCTGTATGACGATAAGCTGGATAAATATAAGAACTACACGGACAATAAAAGTTAAGGGACGACTATTTGATATTCTAGGGAAGGGATTTTGATTGATTGGTGTTTAACGCTACTTTCAACACTAAGTTGGGCTATTCCGTGGTGGTCAGTTTAAATTTATAGAGGGCATTATTAACATTTTTAATCTGTCGCTTATTATGCATATTTTTCAGTTCTTAATTACCAGCCCACCCCACTAAATGAATGAATATCAAATGGATTTTCTTCTTATTTAACACAAGTTTAATTGGTTGATTGTTTGTTGCTAATTATTAACGCCCAGTGACAAATATGTCATGCATGTTCAGGACTCGGTTCAAAACACGAGTTTAAAAGTCAGGTAAATAAATAAAAACGAAGAAATGTATGATTGCTAATGAGGCAACTATCCACCGGAGTTCAAATATGAAGTGGATGTAAGCAATTATAGACAACCGTAATTAAGGCCTTCAACAATGACAAAACCCGATACTGTCAAAAGGCCCGACGTGAAAAGTGTGAGAAACAATTCAAACGAGAAAACTTATATTGTAATTTTTTTATAATTAAAATGTATCATCCACATGAAGGGGCGTAACTCCTAATATCATTCTGACACACTAAACGGATCTTAACCCGATCTGAAAATTTTGAACATTACTTTTTATGTTTGGTCTGAATTCGTCTAAAACCGTCTTAACATATCTTGTTTAACAGCTAGAGCCTTCTGTCTTGTTTATCTTGACATGAATGAACGGACTGAACACGACATATCTGAACAGCGTCTGAAAGTCTTAAAAAGTCTTAACGTTTTTCCCTAGCGGTAAATTCAGTTGATTCAGACTTGATCAGACCAAAATGACCGTTTCAGACTGAAATCTTGCTACTAGTGATAGTATCTCTTCAACAGCACTTATGTGTCGACATGAATTGTCATTGACATGGTCATAATTTTTTTACAAAATTTTGAATTTTTCGAAATACTAAGGATTTTCTACCCCAAGAACCGATTACCGTAGCTGTATTTGGCAAAACTTTAAAGGAATTTTGGGTCCTCAATGTTCTTCAACTTCGTACTTTATTTGATTCGAGCGCCACCGATGAGTCTTTTGTAGACGAAAGGCGCGTCTGGCGTACAACATCGTGGTATCTATGATACGTTTATTTATATTCAAACACAAGTTTGCTAAATGCATATAAAAAGTTTTATTTTTGTTGTATAACACCAATTTAAATGCCTTCTTTCTTCACCAATAGTAACAAAATTTTATTCATCTTTAAGCCTTGAAGCAACCAGTACAGAAACAGTCAAAATGAGAGTAACATGCTATATAACTACATGTTTCGTCCTTATAGGAATAATACTTGTGAACAGAAGCTATGGTAAGTAGAAATCGATGTAACGATTTATCTACTTTAAAAATACAAAATAACTCTGCCCTATAATTAATAAGACAGAGAAGGTCTTAGAAAATTAGAACATTTTATAAAAAAATATGTATAATAAACGACAGCCTGCACAAAATTTATTAAGAAAAAAAACAACCCTCATTTAACTTATGATAATTTGAAAATACTCGATGTCTTTTAATGATGTGCATGCATTATAGGAACTTATACCCTTTTTTCAATTTTATAGAAAATTTTGTATTATAATATTTTTTTTTGTTGCAAATATAATGATAATTGACATGTGTCTTTCTTCTGTGCAAATCTTTTATTCAATCTACCGACTTACAAAATAACACGTCTTCATGTTTCTATGTCTCGATCGGACTTTTCGAGAACCTATGTTTTACACAACAAAAAATAAATTGAGTTATCTTATTCATACGAAAAAGACATAAATCTGACATAATCATTCTCTTAAAACAGTATCAATATGAAAAACTAGCCGTTTTAACTGTGATATAGATATACAACTATTATTAAATGTACAACAAATAATGTAAATTAATTTTATTACATGCCCCGAAGAGCATGTGTTACTTTTATTTACACCCATATTAACATTCATTTTGACGCCATGACTCTTTGGCTACCTTCTTTTGATTTATGATACAAGAGAGAGAGAGAGAAAGAGAGAGAGAGAGAGAGGAAATAATAACAAAAAAGCCAAATAGGGCCCTTATCGCAAAAACAATTTGGCAACACGAATACCACAAAATATTAAGATAAATGAAATACAATGCATACATGCATCGTTCATTTTTTCTTTATTTTCTTTGTACAGTTTGTGCTTGCAACGTCGCCTTTTCAGCGTACATGACCGAAAGCAGTGCCAATACACAAAGTGCGTCTATGGCTAATGGAAACACAATTGTATTTAATAGAATAGAAGAAAATACTGGTGGAGGATACAGCACTACCACGGGAAAATTTACCGCTCCTTCATCGGGCGTCTACGGCTTTTCATGGACCTTCTGTGTCGATTCTCGTACCAATGATGGCGGCGACCCTTTGCTTTACGGAGAATACGGCACAGAATTAATGAGGGGAACGTCTGTGATTGGCGTACTGCATACAGATACGGAAACAAAGTACAATGACGCATGCTCAACAGGATTTGTCATTAAATACATATCCGAAGGTTGGGAAGTTTACGTCAGGAATAATTATGCTCACCAAGGAAAAATCTTGAGCAAGGAGAGTCAGACCAGAACAACATTCTCTGGATGGAAAATAAATAGTTGAAACGTTTGTTGAGCATTGTTGATCGGATATGATTGACATTCTGACATCGCAGTACATGTCTTTATTTTTATCATTAAAATATATTTAATTTAAGGATAGCTGTTTCAAGTATTTAAAAAAAACCAGACGTTTCTAATGTCAGATGCTAGTAAGTAGACAATAATATTGAAAATGAAGAAAAAACATCTCTGATTTGTTTCCTCTTTATTCTTACACCGAATTTCGCCGTTTCGTAATCTAAAGGACTATGGGTAATTTCATTGTTTGTACCCCAAAATGAAAACAGTCACGTCATTGGTTGAATTTCAATTCTTTGGGACATTGTTAGCCAATAGTGGCGTTTTGGTGTACGCTTTTGAAAATATTACCCAGAATGCATTAGATTCTGAAACGGCGAATTATTTAATGGAAAAGGAATGATAAGAACCATTTTTGAGCCTCTGTAAAATAGTAAAATTATTCAAGCTTTCCAAATTATTTTAATTTCATTATTAATCAGTAGATTGATATAATCTGGAAACAGAAATGCAGAAAGGTCAATTTTTATGTCATAAACATGTCAAAATTGACATATTGAACTAAAATAGTCATTCTACACGTTGTATTTGGACAAAATATGTAATGAACTTAGGCTTCACCCAAAATTTTTCACACATTAACATCTTTGAAAAGTCCATCATGTTGCCAAATTTCTTTTTGGGTAAAGAATTTGCTCATATTTAAATATTTATATCTGAAAATCAGGATTTTTCCCTAGTTTTTCAGTAATTGCAATAAGTTTGAAGCAATGATGAAAATATCTCAGATATGATTAAAAAAAATATTGATACCGACATCTGACAGACTAATGTTTAATAAATAAACATCTGCATGGAAGATTTATAATACTTTTTGATTAATGAATTCAAGGGACCAACAAGTGAGAATATCATACCTTTGTCTTTGTATATTGAATCGTTTGTATAATTCAGTTATAATTATAAAAAAAAATTGAAACTAATAAACACAATTTATAGCAAATAGTTGTTATTCACACTCTGTATATTATTATAGAAAATAAGTGATTTTGTGAGCACGTACCCAATATCAAGATGTTATTTTTTAGACCCCATGAGATAAGCATTCAAACGGAAATGAGAGTCTAAACTATATATTCAAAATGATAGATTGAGTGCTATCGGCTTTATGTTCCGTGGCATACATTTCAAGCATATTCAGACTTCCTTAAAATACAATGCTCAATCGGTTAAGTATTTGTTAAATAATGCCCTAAGTCGGTATTCCTGTTCAAATTAATGGGACACTATATACAACAGAAATTACAAAAAAACACAGGACAATAAAACAGATCACATTAACATCAAACTCCTCCGAACAAAACCAAACGTGCAATCAAAGACAACCAACAACGAACACCATATAGTACCCATCAAACACGTTCAAAGTTTTTATTTCCCAAAGACGCCAACAGGGGTATGTAAATAGTAACAAGCAAGTTATTTATACTTATTGACTGGGTATGCGTGGAATAGTAAGTTAATTGTCCTCCGAGCTGCAACTATTGCCCTGAGGCGTAGCCGAGGGCAATAGTTGTTTCCGAGGGGACAATAAAGTTACTATTCCACGAATATCCAGTCAGTAAGTGTTTTATTATACCGAAAGAGACAACAGACACAAAGTTATGCCAAGGACTGAGCGACACCGCTGACCAAATTTTTTTTTTACATTTGTAAGAGACAACGGACACATAGTGATGACAATTATCCGATTGTAAATATGCATTCAAATAACAAGCAGGCAATTGTAAGTTTAAAGCTTCATTTTTTTTAAAACAACAGAATAAATTCAATAACCGAACAACGATTTCAACGAATTCATTTGATCTGTCATTACTTTTGTTGAAAGTAAATATTTACAGAACCATTGTTTATACTGCTGATAGCGAAACACGAGGGAGACTGAAATACAGCTGGGATCTGAAATGTGTTAAACTACAAGTTGGTGCATTTGTCACTGTCTGAGAATTATTTTGAACGGGCACTTGATGCGTTTCACTAATGCCCACTAAGGCCCATACTATGTCTACTGTTAATGCCCCCATCGTCAAGGGCTGTGATGCAGGTACTACGTACATGTATGCAGTGATTTGTACATCTTTAAGAAAGTTCGTAATCGGTACTTATATTGGACATCATGCTACCAAGTGAATTTTTTCCCACGGGAACATTTTCATACCATAGATCACCGGTAGACGAAACTCTGGACGCAAGCTTCGGTCTCTGCCAAAAAATATTATCTAGCGGGTTAAGTTTGCTCATGTACTTTGTAAATGTGATAACTGGACAATTTACGTCACCTGAAATTAGAAATAAAAAATATGCTTTTTAGGAAATTTTATGTATAATATAGTTCAAATAAACAATGTACATGCAGATGCGAAAACTGCGTACAAAATGTAGCTACATTTTTGTATTGCAGGTCCTTTCGATATATTTTGTTTTGTCCTTGTGGAGTCTTAAAGTCTATAGATACTAGTTTTCGTTTTAATTTGACCTGTTGATACAATTTGTAATGTATTTTTGTTATTTAATTTTACTTATTTAATGTTATATCTCGTCGCACTATTTTAATATATACCACCTTTGATAAGTGTTTAGTATGACGATAAATTTTCACTTTTGTTCTCGTACTAGGAACAAAAAATTATTTCCGTACTCCATGTATACCTTACAACAAAATTATTTTTATTTACCTGTGTACGTTATTTTATTTGGCGGCATTTTGTCCAATGTTGTGGTTGTCTTTCTGATATTGTTTTACATCTAACCCCCTTGTTTTATTAATTTTGTATTTACATTGGGTCGTAGATCAAATTTATTCGTTCAGTGTATGTTCACTTGTTTTTGTTGATGTCTTTTGATTGAGTTAAGCCATTTCAATTGATATTTTATAGTGTGTCTTTCTATGTTGTGATGTTACACTATTGTTTCAGGTAGGGTAAAGGTTGGCGTCTATTAAAACGTTTAACCCCGCCACATTCTATATGTGCCTGTCTCAAGTTAGGAGCCTGTAATTGAGTGGTTGTCTTTGTTGCTGTTTCTCATATTTGTTTTTCTTTTATTGTTTTGCATAGTTTGTTCTTATGTTTTACCGTTACATCACTGTCCCAGGTTAGGGGCAGGGTTTAGCGCCAAGAAACTAATTCAAATCTGCTGCATTTGTTTGCACCTGTCCTAAGTCAGGAACCTGATGTTCAGTGGTTGTCGTTTATTGATGTGGTTCATAAGTGTTTCTCGTTCCTCGTTTTATATGTAGATTAGACCGTTGGTTTTCCTGTTTGAATGGTTTTACACTAGTCATTTTGGGGGCCCTTTATAGCTTGCTGTTCGGTGTGAGCCAAGGCTCCGTGTTGAAGGCCGTACTTTGACCTATAATGGTTTACTTTTACAAATTGTGACTTGGATGGAGAGTTGTCTCATTGGCACTCATACCACATCTTCTTATATCTATAAGCTTTCTTCTGTAATTCTACATAAATTAACGTACATGTACTGTGCATTCTCGACATTTCTACATGTGTATGAATCATTGTTATTTCATTTCTTTTAGTTTGTTTGTTTGGTTTGCCGTGTTTGTTACAATTACAAATAATGCGACAATAAAAGTTCAAACTTGATCAAGGTGCATGGACAGTCTGCAAAAATGAAAAAGACAAATGTATTGTACTGATTTTAAATTAAGAAGATTTTACCTGGTAGTTCTTACATTCTGCCACCACTGTGATCGAAGTCAGTCAAGTTTTCACCTCAGTAATTCTTCGTTTGACGTCTTATATATTTTCAGGACAACATACTTTCTATCCTGTTTGTCTCGTCCCAGTTCAAAGTCACCCTTCTGCACTTCTTTAAGATTCTCATCTCCGCCATTAAAGAAGTAAAATTAAATTGATATTAAAAAATGTTCGTTTCTGCAGGGAGTCTGGAGTATCACGTGAAAATTTCTCACGACTGTACAGTTTTTGCAGGTCCTCAGGTATAATTACATCTTAATGTGTGACAGTTCCTAAGCCAATTTTTGACAATTTAACCATTACTGCCTTGAACATTACATTGGATGTTGCAAAAATGTCATTATTTACAATATCTAAGTTTCTAGACTGAATGAAATGTTGTAATCCAAAACGTATTGTCGACATTGATTTGTAAGCATAATTGTTTCCGTCAGACTTGCGAATTTCTCCATAGAACTTCCTAAGTAAGGAATTAAAACAGTTGGTTCCACCTCGTTTAACTCCTCTAAGGTTTTTAGATCGCCGTCGTTTTCTTTAAGGTAGTCGGAAATAATCTTTTCAGCAGTTCGGACGACTGATTTTGTATTTTTGCCTCTTTGTACGTAATTAATCCTTCCAGATCTCCATCGGTGTGTTCGAACGACTCGGGAATCGACGTTAATAATTGAGATGAATTCCGACAGTCCCGAATAATTTGTTAAAAACCCGTTAGCCAATACCGTGGCTGCAGTTGAAATTCCGCGAAATATAATGACCCTTGCGGTCAAATAGTTTCATCGAGGGCAAATAGTTGAAACTATTGACCGGTCAAATAGTTAAACGCTTGCAATTTGAAAAATAGTGAAAATATTGTGTACTTATTTTATATAGAAAATGATAACTGAGGTATAATAAATATTCATAATATAAAAAGTAACGCAGTAAACATTATAGTTATTCATTAGCATATATACTTGTACAAAAAGTTATAAATCTTTATTTAAAGACAGCCAAATTGAAATCTACATAATATGCGTTCAACTTTGTAACAGTATGAGTTAACAACTGATATTATAATTTTGTGATTTTGCAAATTAAGGTGGCTCGTACCCATAAGGACCCCTGGTAGTTTTTTTTCACATATTTTGTAGATTGTTTTATGTAATGCTTAATTCAAAAATGCAAATAAAAAGGGGCTCACCAGGCTTGTTTTTTCGCTAGAGTGCTTTGAAATGTGACAAGGTTGCAATGGGTTTAGATACATACGTGTTTGTCCCACTTCTAAACTTACTGTTGATTGAGTCCAGTAAAGGTTTGTGCTGAACAATGAAGTCCTGCTTGATACAGAAGGAAGTGAATTTAATAATTGAGGATTTGAAGAAGTCGACATTGGAGACCTTAAGAATTTTTGCCAGTGTAGTAACATCATGTAGTACATTAAGTAAATCTGCTTCATTGTACCCATGTACAAATTTTGTGGCTAATGTGCTTTGTGTATAATTTGGTAAATCTTTCGTTTTCTTCTGAAGTGTGATAGGCCTTGGACTATTTGTAAGCTTTCCTGAAGTAGATTCATTTTTTTTCTTCATGTGATTATATAAAAAAACGGAAAATCAAAAGCATATGAATTGTGTCCAACCAGAGTGATTTTAGTTGTTTGTTCTTCTTGTATTTTAGTCAGCCATTCTAAAAATTCCTTGGTCATTGTGATGGGAGTAACAGTATCTACCCAGGCTCCATTTAAATCTAATTTTTTAAAACCATCTTTGTCATATTCTACAGATAATTTGGTTAGTTTGATGCACCTATTGTTATGTCTTTTTCGGGGATTGTATATCTATTGAATGATTTAGTTTCGTTAAGAGTGTTTGCTTCATTTTGTACTATGTCTGCATCCCTCCCTGAAATACATACATAAATATGATTCAATCTTAATAAGAAATTGCAAATGATAATCTAAAACTTTGGTACATGTATAGTATTTCAGATGGAAATGGATGCAAGGTGTTTTGGGTTGTAGTTTTTCTTTTAAAAAAAATTTGTTTATGGTTTCTGATAAACCCTCGTTTTAATTACCAAACACATCTTTTTTTTATGAGGAATTATCAACCATATTTTCAGTGTTCATTTGTCAATTTTTGTTGTTGTTGATAAAATATCTTTTGTATATACTGTAATAAAAATGTGTGAACGCATTGCAGGTACAATGTATGTTAAAACAATTATGAGTGTTTTTCCCATAAAATCAGCG